GCCGGGTTAAATCAAAGAAGCTATATCATTCAAAGACCCAAATGTTGCAAAACACTTAGCCTACTTCTATGCCAAATATGTTGTTGTCCCTGGCCGCAGATAAATCCCCAATAACATAATTTTTTTTGTGTGTAAATCACATTACATAAACTGCTTGATAAATGAATTAGGTATTGCCAATTCACTTGGAAACTCAACATATACCCCCACAAAACTTACCAAAGATGAAATCCTTGATTATAATAGGTCTGTTCTATGTTCTTTGGAATTTCAACCAAAGATGAAGAACTGGATATTGCATCACTTTATTGGATACCTAAACTACCTAAGTGTCCTTACAAACAACGCTATATCGCTGGGTCTTCCAAGTGCTCCACGTAACCTCATTCTATATTATCAACATCAATTTTATCAGCAATCAAAGCTGGGCTGCAATGTTATTGTGAAACTACCTATTCTAGAGGTCGCGTGAATCAGATTTGGATACATACAATTTAAGGCTCTTTCATCTTGCTATAGTATTAAAACATGTGAATAACTTCATACAGAAACTTCTTCGTCAGATAGAAAAGAAGTTAGCAGTATACCTCAATCTACTTTCCGCTATACAAATGATGTTCTCTCACTAAATGATTCAAACTTTGGTGACTATGTTGAACTCATCTATCCCATCGAACTTTAGATAAATGATTAAATAACATGAACGCTACCAAATTTTCTGCACCAGATGCGTATTTCGACAATCAATATCTCTTTAGTGATGCTCGAGGCCAAAATCTTTGAAAATCCAAAGCTTATTAAAAAGACGACGAACTATGAACCAAAAAGGACAAAAAAGTATAGCAAAAGCCGGGCAAGGAATCAGAGCTTTGCATAAAGGAGATACATTCCTTAATTTTAAATAATTTCCAAAATTTTGTAACAGCAAATTTAAAAAAAAAACAAAATCCGTAATTTCATGCCAGTACCGAAGTACTAGCTGCTGGGCTGGTTATACCCTCGGGGACTAACAGTCCACCAGCAGAGGCATCGACCCAGTGGAAGTAATTACATGAACGGTACCAAATTTTCTGCACCAGATGCGCATTTCGAAAATCAATGTCTCTTTAGTGATGCTCGAGGCCAAAATATTTGAAAATTCAAAGCGTATTAAAAAAAAGAAGAGCTATAAACCAAAAAGGACAAAAAAAAAGTATAGCAAAAGCTTGGCAAGGAATCAGAGCATTGCATGAGGGAGATACATTCCTCAATTTTAAATAATTTCCAAAATATTGTGACTTCAAATTTAAAAACACAAAATCCGTATTTTCATGCCAGTACAGAAGTACTGGCTACTGGGCTGGTGATACCCTCGGGGACTATCAGCCCACCAGCAGAGGCTTCGACCCAGTGGTAGTAATAACATGAACGGTACCATATTTTCTGCACCAGATGCGCATTTCGACAATCAATGTCTCTTCAGTGATGATCGAGGCCAAATTATTTGAAAATCCAAAGCTTATTAAAAAAGATGAAGAGCTATAAACCAAAAAGGACAAAAAAGTATAGCCAAAGTCGGACAAGGAATCAGAGCTTTGCATGAGGGAGATACATTTCTATATTTTAAATGATTTTCAAAATTTTGTAACATCAAATTTAAAAACACAAAATCCGTATTTGCATGCCAGTACCGGACAGATACATTTAATATAAGTAGATGTGGTATGATTGTCAATGAGACAACTATCCACCAAAGTTCAAATGAAGTGGATGTAAGCAATAATAAGCAACTTGACTTTCATCTAGAAATTGACAATGAGGGTCGGTTGAAAACAAAACTTTACGACAAAAGAGATGATTTCAGCTGGCCACAGACCACAAAATTAATTTCTCCTATTAGTTCTTTATAACGTTTTGTCTCATTAAAAAAATTTCATTATGTCTTTTTGTCAAATCTTTTTTGTGTGAAATGTACGGTACTAGTCCAAAAATACATCCAACATTCAGGAAGATTGCATTATTACATCTTTCAAATTTAGCTAATACACATCCATACCCCTATGGTCAAGTCAAGAGATGTTCCGAAAGCTGTAAATATTACCTTTTTGAACCGGCCTAATAACTCTTTCCATATCAAAATCAGTTGAAATACAACATCCAAAAATTTATTTAAGCTCTCTTCTTTCATTTCCACCCCATAAAAACTAAGAAATAAATGAGAAAGGAAAAGAAAAAAAAAAGAGAAAATACACTTTTATTAAAGGGAACTATATATATTCGTGGACAACGAAAAGCGGGATCATTAATTGTGGTCTTAGGCCAGCTTCCCAATTGTAAACTTTCCATTTTTATGTAGCAACATTCCAACAGCGTCTACACACGGAGTATACATCTCCCAGTTAATAAAATATTTCAAGGCTGGTATTTCCTATCATGATTTCCTTTATAGGGGGATGCTGCTAACAAGGAAGATATTAAACCAAGAGTTCCAAGTGGTGAAGTTGAAATCATCCCTTTTTTAATTTTACGGACGCCATCACGAGTTGTTTGACTGTTATAGAGTATCCGTTTCACAGATGATAGCGGATATGTTTCAAATGTCGTATCTACATTCCCGTCCTCTTTTCCCCGAATGTAACCTACCGATTTAGACTTATTACCGGACTTGTACTAACATGAGCAGCCATCGGTTGCCGCGTGAAGCAGGATCTGAGATCACCCCAAGTTTTTGGATGGGTTCGTGTATTGTTTGAATGTTTGAATATTTGTTTTTTTGTAGCCATAGCGTGGTCAGTTTATTTTTGACTTATGAGTTGGAATGTCCCTTTGGTATCGTTCGCCTCCCTTTTAATTTTACATACAGGTGTATTGAAGATGTTCTTTCCATTAACAATACAAACTTGTCTGAATAGGTCCCATTGATAGTCATGAAGAAGAGACTACAGACACCACATATATAGCTTCCTTGGTCCCATTCTTAGACATATACGTCGAATTTGACAAAAGTGTCATCTCAATACCAGAGTCCAAGACAGACGAGGTGATTTCAATTTTAGAGTTATACATTTTTCTCATTTTAGCAGCGATTTACCAACTTCACCCGCGTATGATGTATACATTTCTAAACTCATACGATTTCTAGGAGATTGCAGCTGCTACTCAGAGTTTGTAAACAGTTATCAGTGACTGTGCAAAAAAATAATGAGTCAGGGTTTTGTGAAAGAACGTCTAGTCCTTTTTCTCAACAAGTCTTTGGAAAGTATCAAGACAAAATACATAAATATTCAGTGTCTACTGAACAGATATTACATGATGTTCTTGATTGATAGATTTTAGGTGCGGACTCTGCGTAGCATTTAATCTTCTTTACAGTTTAACTTTTATTTGTCATTGTACTATTATGTTCCATTAGATCGTATGCCTCTTGACGTGTTCGTTAAGTGCATCAAGCTTTCGTGTTTTTGGCTTTTGGCGTTCCTTATGCAGGTGGTTCCAGAGATGCGATTCGGACACATGAGTTTTTTATAGTGTTGTTTTCATTGCGTTTACCCTTGTATTTATAATTGACTTATTTTGTGTTTTATCGGGAAAGTGTATTCATATGTCATTATGTAAGGAGCCCCTTGCGGAGCCCTTAAGTGCCATAGAAATATAAATATTATATTTTGCCGGAGATTTAAAGTGGGCACTAGTTTGAAAAATTGTGCGCACGACTTTTAATCTTGTACGTACGACTTTTAATCTCGTGTGCACGGCATTCAAAAGCTGGTGTGCACCAGATTAAATCTCTGGCAAACGAAAACATTTATATTTACATGACATTTAAGGGGCTCCGTTATTATGTTTTACTATACTGACTGTTTTTTAAAAACACAAAGCATCCCAGATATCGCCACGTTAACCAATTATGTCTGTTTGTGTTGCTAACCAAATTTTGCAATATTAAGGAACATTAAACAACTGTCATACAAGTAGGCGTATTAGCTTGCTAGAAAGCAAGATTTAACCCACCATTTTCTAAGCAAAATGCTTGTGCTGAGTCAAAAATATTACAGTTGTTTTTCTACGGTTTTTCTAAAACAATGTTTTTCTGTCATATTTTTACAAAAATCAACAAGGATCCTCGTTTTATAGATATGACTATACATAAAAATTAATTGAAATCATGCAGATGAGACAATCTTTACTTTTCAACCGACATAAATAAAGGCAACAGTAGTATACCGGTGTTCAAAAGTCATAAATCGATTGCAAGAAAACAAGTCCGGGTTACAAACTAAAACCGAGGGAAACACATCAACTATAAGAGGAAAACAAAGGAACAAAGGAACAACAGGACCACTGAAGTCCAACAAAAACAAACGCCAACATACATAAAAACGAACTATTTGATAACAAAACTTTTGCAGGACAGACAGACGGCCTTATATTGTTATACGAAAACTATATAATTAGATCAAATGGCATTGAATCATCACAGTCATTGCAAATACATATTATAATTTGAACGATATTTTTTATAAGAAAAGTAGTTTATGCATTAAAAATTTGAAAAAATCACGTTTGTTTTCATTTCTATTTCTTTTAAATTTTGAGGAGCAGTCTGCCTTTCGTAGTTTTGTAAAAACGGTGTACTTTTAAACCTTGATTGTTCTCGGGTTCTGATCATAATGATGAATGATTTTGACAGAGAGTTTTATTTTTTCCAATATTTGACATTATAATTAATTTAATTAGATTATTTATTGACGTTGTATGTGTCTTCCTAAGATAACACTCTGTCATAATTTGAAATTATTTGTCGACAAAACTTTGATTTGTTTTAATAACTAAGAATTTTCTACCCAGGAATAGATTACATTAGCTATTTTGGCAAAACATTTCGGATTGATGGCCATGGGTCCTCTATGCTCTTTAACGTATTTTATTTTGCCCTTTTTACCTTTTGTTAATTCGATTGGCACTGATGAGTCATTTTAGGACGAAATTCGCGTCTGGCGTACAAAAAAGTAAGTCTGGTATCTATGATGAGTCTATTATTAATTTTGATATGTTTTGAAATCCTTTTTGGATAGCAATGTTCACTGCTGTTTGTCCTTGTTTGTTTTTAATATTTGTCAATGGTTTATTGTCCAATAATAGTTTCACTATTTCCTCATACCCATATGTACAAGCAATATGGAGAGGTGTTAAGTCTTGATCATCAGGTTTGTTGACAATAGCATTTTCCATAATTAAGGTATTCACAATATTACCAAAACGGTTTTCACATGCATAATGAAGCGGGGTTTTGCCATCTTTGCCGGATTCATTGATATTTGCTTTATTTTCAGCAAGGCATTTGACTGTATCTAAAAATCCCTTTATACACGCTATATGGAGTGGTGTCCTACTCTTTTTGTCTACTATATTTGTGGATGCTTTACTTCCTATCAGACATTTAACAATATCTTTATCTCCTGCTCTACATGCATAATGAAGTGCAGTTCTACCTTTCTTATCCATTTTATCAATTCTATCCAAGACAACTTTTTGTTGTAATAAACATTCAACACATTGCATCTTTCCGTTTTTACTTGCTAAATGAAGAGATGTTCTTCCCTTGAAATTTCTGGTGTTTATATTTTGACAGTTGTCGAATTCTAAAAAATGTTTCAGAAAATCTGAATATCCTAATGCTGAAACAATATGAAAAACTGTTGACCCAGTTGTAGCGTCGACCAGATTCTCTGATTTCACGCGTTTTTCTAAATACTTGATGAATTGTGTCCTGTTAGCGGCATTTTCGAACAGTTTATTACTTAAAATATCAACAAAATGGCGCCTATTCATATCTGATGTAAGACGACGATAAAAATAATCTTCCATATCCTGTGGTACTTTTATAGAATATGGACAATTATCTTCTTGTGACGAATATAGTTGGAGTTTTTCCATGATAAATTCACTACTGCTGTATTTCAGGATACTTTGAATAAATGATCCTCCAATACATGATGCAACACTGTCAAATAATTCGGTAGACACAAAAGAAAAGACGTTTCCATTGCACTTTGTAAATTCTCCATGTAAAGAAGTAAATGACATGAGCAAAACATGTTTTGTTGGGTATTGTTTGAAACCAGATTCTTCAAAAATGTCTCGAATAAAGTCTTTTGTTTCATTCTGAACTGCATCAGAAAGCATTTTTTTATCAACTTCATTATTCAAGACGACAAGAATCGCTAAAACAAGAAAACTAATATCTTTATTTTTTAAAATGTCATTAACTTTATCACGAATTATTTTGTCAGGATGTCCGAGATATTTTACAAAATTGCCTTTGTCATAGGACGAACAGATTAAAGGATAAAAATGGTACAGCAATAAGGTGTCCTTAGAAATCGATTCTGGTATTATTGATTCAAAGTACTACTTATAAATGTTTCTTCGTTCATCCAAACTCAATTGTAGGTCTTCTGACATGAGATCTTTATGAACTAAGGAAACGCTATTTTCTAACATCGGTAAAGTATTCCACATTCATTTCATAAATATATGTCCTGCAGGTTATTAGTACTTTAACATGATTGTTTTCAATAAATATTGCATTTATTGCTGACCAATGATTTCTACACTGGTCAGTAAAATCACATATTTTGGGACGCTGTCTTTCAAATAGGTCTTCAAGAAGAAAGAGTTGTCTTTGATTTGGATAACAGCGTTTAACGATTTCTTCTGAAGAGGAAACAAATATTATTGTATAGCCTTCTTTTTCAAGCTTGTCAGCTATGTATATTGCAATTGCAGTCTTTCCCGATCCAAAGGAGCTTGTTAATAAAACACATGGGTTTTCATTGACCGTACGGAAAATGTCCTGTGATGCACTAGTTGGTACAAATTTATTTAAATGATCTTTCCAACTTTTCATTTCGCAAGTATCATTATCTGAAAGGAACCAAAACAAATAATATTCAATTTCATAGATTGTATATTACAAATATGTTTTAATAATCCTAAAAAGGAGCTCGAGTTTATATGTATTTGAACGTATTGGAATTAATAATTGTCGAAATCATCAATCTAACATTTAATGACAGATGTAAGTTTAAGTTGTCCTGTAAAGTTTCGTTTTCTAAAATTTGTAAGTTGGCTTAAACTATTTATTTAATTTTTCAGTCAAATTCTGCCTGAGACTTTTTTGGTTATTTTTTTTATGTTCTGATACGTTATATTGTTGATTTTTTCCCCAAAACTTTTGAATTAGGACATTTACTAAATGATGACCTCAAAATGATTCTAGTGTTGTTGACGTGCCTTTTCATTTCGTTTTATTAATTTGAAAAACAATCTATAGTTTTTCGAACTTGTTATTTGTTTAGCCATTTGAAAGGTGAAATGTATAAATTGTAATTAAAGTAAGATCAATGTTATTCTTGTAATAACATACGAGAAGACGTATGTGCTTTAAAGAACAAAACGCTTTAGCTCACACAAAATACTTTCATAAAAATTGAACTTTTTTTTTTTATATACTCCCAGGACTAAAGACTGAAGATTTGTTGTATTAAACCAGCAAAACATGAGAACGGCAAAGCAAAAAAAAAGAAAAAAACAACATTGCATTATCTTTAGCGATGAAGTTGACACCTTATCAAAACGAAAAGTTGCAACACGAAAATAGTAAAAAAAACACCATCAAAATTTAAATCATTATCAGTTGTAAGTGTGTTCATGTTGTTGTCTCTAACCTAAATTTCAGTATATTTTTTTCTAATTATTAATATTTGAACTGTTATAACAATAATCGAAACTTCTGCTGCTGGAGTGAGTCGTTCTCATATCAGTCAATGCTTAAAGGGTATTGCTGTATATTAAATTTGTTTTACGTTTATTGTTTTGTACATAAATCAGGCCGTTAGTTTTCTCGTTGGAATTGTTTTACATTTGTCATTTCGGGGCCTTTTATAGCTGACTATGCGGTATGGGTTTTGTTCATTGTTGCAGGTCGTACGGTGCCCTTCAAGTGTTAACTTCTCTGGTGGAGAGTTGTCTCATTGGAAATCTTACCACATCTTATTTTTATATTAGCTACGATTTAGACAAAAAAAATAATATTCAACAAGAATGTGTCCATAGTACACGGATGTCCCACTCGCACACTCATTTTCTATGATCAGTGGACCGTGAAATTGGGGTCTAAACTCTAATTTGGCATTACAATTAGAAAGATCATATCATAGGGAACATGTGTACTAAGTTTCAAGTTGATTGGTCTTCAACTTCATCAAAACAACCTTGACCAAAACTTTAACCTGAAGCGGGACAGACGGACGAACGGACGGACGAACGAACGGCCGCACAGACCAGAAAACATAATGTCCCTCTACAATCGTAGGTGGGGCATAAATATTTATCAAATCAAATTTCGAAATAATATTTTGTTATAACCAGTCAGTTTGGCCCAAATTTTTCAAAATAAGCTCAAAAACATTACTGATGTATTATTGACTTGCAAATCAATAATTCAACCTCAATTAAACCCGTATTCATGTAACCTTCAATTTGACCCCTTAGCTGGAGATGGAATACGCATGTACTATTATAAGAAAAAGAATGTCAACATTAAAAGTGAAACAAAAATGAACAATTTCGTTGACTGATTCGATCCTCAAAAATCACTCTTACATAGGTAAAAACGGTAATTGACATATTTTTTTAACCTATAATACGAAATCAAACAGACCTAGAAAAATCCAATTGCACGTGCTTGACAGTCAGTTTTAATTAGTGTAGGAAGCCGGAGTGGCCGAAGAGAACCACCGACCTTCAGTAGGAAAACTTTCAACCTCAGTGTTAACAGGCTAGTATTACAGTAGTTCGACTACTTAGACCACTCGGCAACCGAGGCCCCCAGTGAACATAAATTTGACAGCTAATGGCCCTTTTAACAGTAAATAAAAACTGTTTGATCAAATATAATATGATAATAATTTTTGCTTCAAATTACATGCATGCTACTATTTGTTCTATTCTCGTTTTTAATAAGAATGCACGCGTTTTCATGCTACGCAGGAAGTAGATGTCCGTCGGATCTGCAAATCACTATCACGTTGCAACTCGTCAGTGCCAGCAGCTGACTAAATGTTCATTCATTCTGTTAAATAATACATGAGAAGAGTGTGACGCAATATCATTTAAAATATTAAACAAAATACAAGTATCGGCAAATCGGTAGTGATTGTTTTGAACATCCAGAAAGTGCTCACACCCTACAACTCATCACTATTAAGCTACAGACTACGTTGTTTTAATAACAATGACAAAATCCAAAGGTTTGTGAAAAATGGAATATTTTAAAATCATCATGCCAAGATAGTATATTTAAAGGAATTTCTACAATATAAGATATATATATATATATATATATATCAGTAAAATTGAAATATAATTAGGCGTTGCATACAAATTGTTGTTGAAAACAATTTTCCCACAATATTACAAATTTTAACTTTTTGCAAATTTCACATCGAAGGACATACCGCATTGAGAGACAATACAAAGCTTTGCGCTCAATAGAAATGCCAGTTTTCTATAAAGATTTCCTTCTTATTTATTATTTTTTTTCAAGATTTTAAATTATCTAGCCAGCTTTCATAATTTTATCTAATGTGGTAACCAGCTACGAACTACAAAATATGTCGTGCTATCATAACATCAAGGTTCAATTATGAATGGATGATAATGTAATTTTTCGAATATGTTAAAAATTGATTGGAAATTGGTCCTACATCTATGATTTATGACTCTGATGGATATATTTTAAAAATACACAGTTTGCGTTTCAACTTACCAATAAAATAAAAATACAGAAGGCATATACCTGAAAAATAATGCATATTGAATTAAGATTACAAATAGTTTCTTTATTAATGTATGACAAATGAAGACCTTGATTTTTAGATGCAAAAAACAATTAAAACGCTATTCTTAATATGCTTTTGGATGGTTTTTAAGTGCACGTAGTGCTTTTGTGGCATGATTGATGCAACATATCTTTCTTTATCAAAATACATGTATCCACAGAAATCGTTGTCCAACCCAGTTTTGCTCGTTATGAAGTTTTGTATCTTCTGAAAGATTCGTGAAATATTTAACAACAGTCAACAAAATCATAATCGCGTCCGTAAAAACACATCAAAGATACCAGGCTTATAATTTAGGACATAGGATGTGCCTTCTTTAGAAAGAAATGCCATCTGCTATGCATGCGACAGCTGCGGATCCAGACTGAATGTTATAGGACACAATTCTTATGAAATTAGATCAGACAATAAATATGGTGTCCGAAAACATGGCCCTCGTAGTTGACACACAAGCAGAAAACAGGGTCAATAGCCAATGCCTTGTTTAACTTTCTAATACATTTGTAGTTTCATTTGTGTCTAGCTCTTTTTTTTTTATTTCATTTTCTTACATTGTATTGATTTTTTCAGGTTTTGTATATCATGATTTTGTTGTTTGAACAAAGTTGTGCATTTATTTCATATCGACTATTTATTTCATCATCTTTTTTATCTTGATTGATAAAACGTTTGTTAGTTATATCGATTGTTTTGCGTATTTATCAAGTTTGTTTGATTTTGTGATTTATCGACAACTCTTACTTTTTGGTCTGGTTTTTCCGAAATTTACATAAACTATTCAGTTAATATGTGTATATTGTATTTAAAGAATCTGTCAAATTTAAGCATATCATCCAAAGTTTTACACGCGCTTTTGCTTATAAAACTGAATGAAGTTATACCTATAAAAAGAAAAACCAATATCGAAACACATGTCTTCGGGAGATGAGATCGTTTTCTTAAATGCACTACAAAAGACAAAGAATGCCTACATGGTACGATTTTATATACTATTATAAATGAAAACAATGTTCTCGTTAAAACTTCTAAACACAAAACATTTTCTGCTCTTATTGACATTTATTCGATATTGTTAATTTTAAAATAATAAGTAACAACTGTCACTTTATAAATTTAAAATGTATTTCATTTTAAATTCCACAAACAGCTTATATAATCAGAAACGTGTGTGTGTGTGTGTGTGTGTGTGTGTGTGTGTGTGTGTGTGTGTGTTGTTTTGTTTGTCGTTGATAAATTCTTTAACATTATATATTCTAAAATTATTATATCATGCAATTTACGGATGCAGCGTCATCAAATTATTCAAACAAAATGAAAAGGCAGATAAAATGAATTCTGACAGATGGATAACCTAAATTGCAGAAGCATTATTGCCATGAGCAAGACGGCGGATGTCAAATGTGGTACATGATCTGCTTATTTCCGGAGCACCTGAGAACATTCCAGTTGTTTTGGAGGGGTTCAAATTATTTTGTATGTTGTTTTCTATGTACAAAATGTAGAGTTTTGTAGAATGTCCTTTGTGTTTATTTAAAGGTTTTTTCGATTTTTTTTTTTGCCGTGGTGATTTTTTTCGACGTAAGATTTTGAAATGCTCCCTTAGGTATCGTCTCGATTTCTTCTATTACAGTCAAATGTGTAATAAATAAAACATACAAATAAAATTGAAATAGTAATGTCTTTTGCGATGTACAGAAATGTAAACTACAGTTGTTTAAAGATGTCGCATATTGTTAAGGTATTTCTAATTCGTAAGATATACCTACCATTATAATAATCATGTTTATCGCTTTTCACGTCTTTAGCCAAAATTGGTGTATTAGTCTTTTCTCTAATTACTATATATATATAAAAATATTAATTTTCGCGAACCATTTAGGTCACGGAAATTCCATTTTTTGCCATCAGTAAGGAGAGTTGTACAAATAATGTGAATACACAGAACCCCGATCCAATTCATCTTTTGCTATAAATATTTATCATTTTCTGTTTTATATCTCCTAACATCATTCCATTTTTCTCTAATTTCGATTAAAATATGCCAAAACCTGCAGTAAAAATAGATGTATGCCCCAAATAAACATTCCCCGATTGGTTGAACTACTATGGCGTCGATGTAAAGCAAGGCAAGCCTCGATGTAAAGCAACGCAAGCCTCGATGTAAAGCACACGCTTCCCAAGAGTAAGGAGAGTTGTACAAATAATGTGAATTCACAGACCCCCGATCCAATTTATCTTTTGCTAAAAGTGTTCATCATTTTCTGTTTTGTATCTACCAACAACATTCCATTTTTCTATAATCCCGATTTAAACATGTCGAAACCTGCAGTAAAAATAGATGTATGCCCCAAGTAAACATTCCCCGATTGGTTGAAAAGCTGTGGCCTCGATCTAAAGCAACGCAAGCACACGCAAAAATTTCCGTTGACATGTTAAACTTCGACCCCGGGATTCAGCCGAGGTAACCTTCAGCCGATTCACATAGAGATTTTCTTGCGCTCAAATGTAATTCTAAGTGAAGTATACTGGTAAAGTAAAATTACATTCTTTTACAGAAGTATTTACACATTTTATCATTAATGTATTGTCATGCTTCTGCATATTTACGCTGAGCTTTAGTTAAATATAATTCTATACAAATTTTGTTACGTCAAGCATTAACAGTAAGAATATGTTTCGCGCCAAAACAAGAAAATAATCTGTATCACAAAATAAGTTTATCAGCTTCTTTCTGAAATTTTCCAACAGAAAATAGCGTTAATTATAGAGAAATTTTGGTGAGTATTACTTATTAATGTTAAGGTTCTCCAGAGGTGGTTCTCTACACCTTCTTGGCGGTCAATTTAATCCCATTTATCAATTATCCCCGATGGCGATGACACCCAGTCGATTTGTGTCATGAGCGAAAATCTTATCTATTTCCCAGCAAACAATTCAACATTTTAAAAACGTTTTAAAAATGTTTTGTTTTGGTTTCTAGAATGTTTTATTAAAACGTTTTAAAAACCAAAATTTGTAGACTCTTATAAATGTTTCAAAAACATTTTGAAGAAACGTTATTTTGGAACATTCAGAAAACGTTGAAATAAGGTTTTATGAAAAACGTTTCTGTCAACCTCCAACAAACATTTTCAATACATTTGTGTAACAATGATGCATTAGTGCGACCACCATTACTTTGGTTTAAAAATATATAATTGATTGTGCACGTGTTTAATTGAAGAAAAAGCAACATCTCCATAAGCTTGGATGGATGGTTGGTTTTTTAACGACCAGTGGCAAGTCAGATGCATATTCTGGATGAGAACATGATTATTAAAAATTAATACCCTGTCTTGTAATACACCAACATGTTGTGCCTGATTTTTTGGTTCTAGCCCACAAGGCAAGTTTGCAGGATGACATGTCACATTATTCTGACTACGGGCCAAGAAGTCTTTGCTCTAACTCATTTTGGGGAGAAGCAACAAATAATAATTTTATTGTCATTGGTTTTGCCCGGCCGAAGTTCCGACCGGCAACCTCCGCACTTGAGGCGACGACACTGATCATTACACCAAAGCTCTAAAGGAAGATATTCTTTATAAAAAAAACTATGCCAAAGCAAAGCTTGTCAACCTCTAACTGTTTAAACTTGGTCCTGTGACCTTGAAAGTCAATTCAATAAGGTTCTTGCATTGACAAGGAGATAACATATCTCTTAAACCGAGAATTTGACATATTATCATAATAACTTCAATCAATGATCTTGTTTATAACCAAAGCTTCAATTGTTGCAGAAATTGGAATATAGTTTTATAAACATCTTTAATCACTTTGCAACAAAAAAAACCAGTATTGACAGGACTAAAATCAGTAGAATCAATGTACTTTTAAACAGATTTATTTGTTCAGACTTTAATTCTTCTTTCGCAATCGTCTGTCCTTTTCTTACAGGTTTCTGAAATGATCAAAAGCAATTTGTTAACGAGATCAGTACGCCCAAGTACACTGTTTAGCATATAACTCTTAACCCCAGTTAGTTGTTGTACTCCCTTTTAATCAAGCTATTTCATTAAATCTATAAAGGGGAAATTATGCTATTTTTTGCAATCCAAGTAATTATTAAGATAGGCAAAAAACATAAATAATATTTTACATGTCAAAAGCAATTGCTACAAATGTAAATCTCAATGTTTTACTTGCAGGATAAAGACAATCATTCCATCGTCAAGAACATAACAATGTATTATTCTAATGTCTCTAAATAAACAGAAGTTCTGCATGGTTGGCAAATGTTATATTGCTATAAGTGGCTCAGAAATTTGTGTATAGATATTCAAATTGCAAAAATAAACTTTTAGATAAATAAAACCTTCCACTTAAACATATATTAAGATATTTTATTCAATTGAAAAATACCTTATATTTTGGTCCTCCTGGCTTGTGTGGGGCCTATTTTAGGAAGTCAATTAAGACTCCCTCCATATCGGAAACCTTGGATTTTGGGAACACTCTTGTACAACTTTCTGAAAAAGTATTACAGAATTAAAAAGATATATTTCATTATTATTTTTAACTTCTTTAAACTTTTATATATATATATATATATAATAACTTTATGTAACTTTGCACTCTGTTTCTACCTAAAATAATAAGTGAGAAACATTATATTCATATTCATCATATGAATTCTTTTTGAGATTAAAGTCAGATAAAAAATCCAATCTATATTAATGGCACTTGCTTTTAAATGTTCGACATATTTTCTTAATCAACTTACTCATGATTATCCTGCACAAAGGGTGACCTGTGAATGCCTCTTTTCCCTTTTGCCCCTTCAGACTGTATTTGGTCCATAACTGATTAGTGCCACACTTCTTCATCATCCTTCCTATACAGTTTGAAGGGCTGTGACCACCCTGTGACACAAAATACTGGACCTACAAAATTACAATTTAGTCCCGTTGTTATTTATTTTTCGTGAAATCAAATATTTGTTTTATAAATAATCGTGTCCATGAACCAATCTTAGCAAAACCTATTAATGTTTTTATTTTATTTCTTGTCCGTATCGAGTTTCTATAATGATTTTCCATGTATCGCTGTGTATACGTTATATGCAATTTTATATGCATTTGAATGTTTGTCTTCAATTACAGGTTTATTCTATTAATGCATGATTTTTTTATTCATATATATAGCATGTTTCGCTTATATATATTTACTTTAAATTAATATATATTATCTTTAACTGTTAAAATCTGATTTGACCTTTTCTCGGTAGATTGTTCTGGTGTTACATTATAAACTTTTATACATCTATTTATTTGAAAGGATTTTCCCAACGTAAATGATCTGTGGTAATCAACACTGGTCGTATATGAATTTCTTTAATTGATGATATTACACCTGGTGTTTCGGATATCATTCAGGTCAAGTTCGACCAAGGCCGTTCATCCTCGTCAGGTGCCCTTGCGTAATACTTTTATTTACTATAACATTTGATTATGATTTCTTTTTAACTATTATCAATATGTTTCTATCGTGTAATGTATCAAATGCAATTACATTTTGTGGTAATACTGAATTGTTCATGACTGGCAAGTTACAATTAATTTTAGTCAGACATAATCATATAAGATATTTTGTAAAATGAGGCCCAGCACTGGCAGCACGGCTATGGGTAGTCCAAAAAAAATATGACGTCTTGAAAGGATATTTTTGATTTTTGCTGTTGATACGAAGTTGGAGGAGGGCGTCCACATTTTTTTTGTCAAATAAGAAAGCCTTACAAAACGTCATTATTATTTGACTACGCTCTGGGTAGTTTAAATGATTAATTATGCTGTCTTCGGAGGCTTGTTTTTATTTAACTCGTGTAAAAGTCAGACCAGTAGCCCACGAGGCATGACAAATTGACACGTGATGGCATCATGCAGTGGTGAATGTGAATTTCTGCCTGTACTGTAGTAGTTAAATCTGTTAATCATGTAAATAGACTCATGCAAATCATACGAATGTCATGGAGAAAATAATGCAGTAATTTGTCTCAATTTCTACAAAATACAGCGAATGTTTATTGATTTTATACATACCTCATAGACTGAACGCTATTCTGTAGAACTGATCTTCTATCATGTCTAGTGTCGTTGTTTTCCCAATTTAAAAAAGGCGGTGAGAGTATCCGGAAGTTTCGAACAAATTTTATCTAATGAAGAATTCTGCTTTAATACAAATTATTGTCGTAAATAATACATTTTCTCAATTAAAATGTCTATCTTCGAATATGATAATACTTTAGAGATGCGATAAATGGAAATATAGAAATAAAATACGAAACTAACTAATAAGTTACAACTGGTTCCCGGTTCTACGGAAAAGAAACCAGTTATTAGAATACAAGAATTATTTTTTATGACATAACATATCATCATATCGACAGATAGAAGATGACTTTTTGTAAATTAAAAATTAAAAGTAATTATTAAAAACAAAAATATTGCGGTGATATGGGAAACATGATTTATAAAGTTTTTCTATACTTATTAAAAAACATTTTTGAAACATTATTAAAAAACAAAATTAAAAACGTTGTTTTAAAATGTATTATTTATGTTCATCAAAAACATTTTTGAAAAAATGTTTTTTTTACGTTTAAAAAATGTTTGCAGAAACATTTCTACTATAGTTACAGAAAACGTTTCAATTTAACCTTTTAAAAACATTTCTTAAACGTTTTTTCGACACTAACTTATTTGAAACCTTTAAAAAACGTTTCTAAAATGTTCTGTGTTTGGTGGGTTGATGAAATAACTTCTTCATTAACTGTACATGCAATACTTTTGTAGT